GAGATGTGTATAAGAGACAGGCTCCTACCTATGCCGATAATGCCATTGATAGTGCCGCGCTCTTGCCGCCGAGTGACGTTTTCGTATGTCTGGGAAACATCGGGCAATATTTCGACTATCGCACGTGAGTATATTAGCTTATTAAATCGCGGAAATAGTTTTAAATAGCAACGAAAAATTCGATGTTTTTTTTTATTACGCGAGTTAATTCAACATAATTTGTCGATCGATATATAATATTTATGTGAAACGATTCGCCCAGGGAATTTACAACAATAAGCAGTCAGGAGCAGAAAAGGCGCTACAGAGAGGAGTTCACCAGGAACTACGATGAATACTGCAGGTTGCACTCCCAAGTGCTCGTAATCGCGAACCGCTTCACGCATTTGTATACACTATTGCAAAGTCAAAAGGCAGCGGGCAACGTGCTCGAAAGCGTGGTACGTATATCGTGTAACTTATATAATTCGTAAATGATATCGCATTTGTTGAACAAAGTTGGACAAGAAGGAATGCTCATGCGGTGGCATTTTTCTTTTCCAGGAAACCACCGAGAAGATAGTTCGCGAGTACAAGGAAATTAAGCAGAATCGGGTGTACAAGCAGATGAAGGAACGGTTCGACTATCTGCACAATAAACTGAGCCATATAAAACGTCTGATCTTGGAGTACGAGACTGAGCTCCGAGAAAGAATGACTGCGAATAGCATTGATAGTGGTATACTTAGCTCCACCGGCTCCGTGAATGGCATCGGCAGCAACAACACCGGAGGCATCGACAATCGGCATTACTGACATAAACTGAAAAGACCGCCTCTTATTCCTCCCCTCCTCCTTGATACTGTCAACGTTGTTGCCGTAGAAACTGCATTTCCGCGGCAAGTGCTAAGGCTGATCTTTCACGGTCCACATGGTTCCTGTGTTCCATCGCCGAAAAAAAGTCAAGCGACTCCAAATGGCTCGAGGTTGCAAGATCTCGTGTACGATGTTTATCGTAAAGCATCTCGCGACGGTGAATATTACGCATCGCACGCGAAATACTCTTCCTGCGAATCTTCCTCACGTCTCCGTTGCACGAGGCGACGATTTCCACGACGGCGACAACCCCGCCGATTCTCGTCATCACGGTAAGGCTCGCGCGCGCCAACTTCGACTAATACTATTTTGCAAGTGGTGAAGGCTGATGACAATCGAGTACATTCAAGAAATAGGCAAACAAGAAGACCCATACCCATTCGGAAGTCCATCGAGACATGGAAAATAAGGGCATTCTGACCATCTACGAACGTAAAGTAAAAGTGTGCGATGGCGTATGGAGATTTTAAAGCTGGTCCCGTGACGACTGACGAGGAAGACGTTGTAGAAAATCGAAGAGAGAAGGCGCAACCGGAAAGAAGTAGTTATACTCTGTAATAAGTTACTTACCGTGCGCACGTCCAAGTGTGTCGTCCACTTTAAGAGTACGTAAATAAGAGAAAAGTAACAAAAAAAAATGATATGATTGTGAGAAGAGGGTCCAAGAGATAATAAGGCTTACCGCGTGCCACGTCCGGGTTTCTTTTTGTCCGCCGGAAGGAGGAAAGAAAACTGGCTCGCAAGACACTTATAACATATACAATTTTATCCATGAGCTGGCACGAATCTCTCGCGCGCGATTCGTGCGTTGCTCGTCGCAACTTGAGAAAGGGCTTAAAAAAAAAAA